GCACTCAACCCCCATCTTTTCCCCTCAGTAAGGGCGTGTTGTGTTGTCCCCTGTCCCCCAGCAGCCACAGGAGCCACCGGCCGTGAAGGGGCTGTCCTTGGCCACCAAGGTGAGGCGCACCATGAGCAGCCGCGTGCACGAGGCCGTCAAGGCCATCGCGCTGTGCCACAACGTCACCCCCGTCTACGAGTCCAACGGCGTCACCGACCAGGCCGAGGCCGAGCGCCACTACGAGGATTCCTGCAGGGTGTACCAGGCCTCCAGCCCCGACGAGGTCAGCCTCTAATTATCTGAATTTTATCCGTGTGCTGCCCAAAAAACCCTACAATTCTCTAGGGGACGCGTTCCAGTTTAGTGAAGGGTGATGCCTCTGGTCGGTCCTAACGCGGATGTTCGGCTCGGTGGTTTCACTGAACTCGGTGATTTTATGCAGAAAGAAAATCTGACTCAATCGTTTGGGTATTTAAAAGCTTTAATAATAAAAAATAACAAATAGCAAGCCGAACAGTTTGTACTGAATGAACTGGGAAAGATAGTCCAGGGAGGTTAGTTCCATGCACAAGGATAAGGGTAAAAAGTGCTAGGGCAGGGCAAGGGGATTTATGAACTTGGAAGAGGAGAGGAGTTAGGGTGAGTTTAGGGAGGGGGTCCAATAGGGAAGGGCGATTAGGAACATTAAAAGTATTGCAGCAGAAAGGAAGCAGAGAACTTTCTGGAAATGATCAACATACTGGAACTGGAGGATTCTGGGGGTGATTTTTTACTCACCCCTACCCAAAAGGGATTTCCCCCAGCCTTAAGCCATGATCCTCTGCAGTTTTGTTGGAGCTAACCCCAACAGAAGGGGATGATATTTTAATGTCTTTATTGCTCTGATAAGCTGTGAATAGGCCATGAGTGCCCTCTCAGTAGTTCTGCCTCTCTGCCTGAAACTCCCACACCGGTATCTCTGCCTCTGCACCTCAGAATTTTGCCTCTGTTTCTGTACCTTTTGTCCTGGGTGTATTTTTCATTTCAATGCCGTGAATCCCTTTGAGCACGTTTGGTAAATTATGAGCAATCTTATCATGTCTGGGGGAGGACAGCTTGTGGAAGAGGGTTGGAATGCTCCCACAGTTCAGCTCTGCAGGATGTGTGACCTTCCAGGCCAGTGAAAAGCTGTAAAAATCACTGTAACCATGGCACATCCCACGGGCAGGTGGACAGAGCCAGTGCTCAGGTTAATTCTGGAGGGAGTGAAGTGCACAGGTTTGTTCGAGAGCAGCACCCAGTGCAGCCAGGGCTGTGCAGGTGGCACAGTGGGGAGAAGCTTTAGAGCTCTCCAGAGACTCACTGGAGACTTTTAATGAGCATTTGAGAGGTCAGGTTCAATACAGGATTTACAGTTTAAGTGCTGTTTGCCACCCCTTGCAAAATTTGGGAACTGTAATTACAGCATTGCTTCCTTCTGTGCTGAAAACAGCAGGAATAAAATGTGGTTTCATATATTGATTATACTTCTTGCATATACCTTTTAGTGCAACAAAAGTAACACATTTTGCTTTCTATTAATTTGCACAATTAAGTTTGCTGTGTGCTGGAGAGACACTGAAGTTTGAGACTTCCCCTGAGAATTCCACTGACAGTGTGAGATCAAATCACCCTTCTGACTGCATTCAAAGGGTTCTCCCATGTACTGCCTCAAACAAACCAGCTTTGCCTCTGGTAATAACCTTCCCACCTTTGCCATCAGCAGAGAAGCTGGCTAGCCTCACTGTTGGAGAAATGCTTTGCATGGAATGAAATGCCCTCGTTGAAAGCCCAGCTGAGTGAGGATTTTGGGGCTGTAGTGAAAGAGTGGCACAGAGATGGTTTGCACATTTACATGTATTCCAAATATTCCCTATAGTGTTTTTCTCCCAAAGTAGGCAAGTCATTCATTTCATAGATATTTTTATATATATTCATTTTTTTCTGTGCATTATCCAAAAGCTGCATTTCTGCTGTGCCCCCTGCATGGCTGTGGCTGCAGTGAAGTTCCAGCAGCCCCTCCGTGGTGAGGTGTGGGTGTCCTGTCCCCTCTGGGTTGGGGCAGGGTTTGCTTCCCTGCTCCTCTCCTCTAGAATGTGTTGCTCTCCCCTGAGTAGGCAGCGTGCAGAAAGTGACTGCCTTTGCACTGAAATGAGTTCTGAATGATTTCCAGATGGTAATTTTTGTGATCTCCATCTTAAGGGTTTTTTTTATCCTAAAGCTTACAGGATATTTTTGCACAGGTTTCTGTTTATTTACATATATACTGTGGTGTATAGTAAAGTCAGTGATTTTTCTTTTACTTTTGCTCTTTTTACTGTTCTGCCCTTAAAATATTTACACAGCAATTTGTCTGAAATACCCAGGGGATATTGTTTATTTGTTTTACTATAGCATGATAACTAATCCTTCCAAGATTATTGTTTAAATTCTTTTTTCCTTTCTTGTGATATCTTAAGTAGAGAATTACAGCAGGTTCGGAAATCAGATATGCTTTGCTGCACTGAGGAAATCTTGTCTGTAGGTCTTAGATATACAAATATTATTTAGCCGTGCTCAGTATGTCATCCTAGATGGTACAAAATGCAGGAGCTACACAAGTGGAGTCCTTGAGAAGGGAGTAATGCTGTTAAATAACATTCCCTGTAGGGGAATGGCTTTGGACTCCTGTTAAAGCCAGCCTTTGAAATCCTATATCAATAAAATATTGCCATGGCAGGGAAGGTCAGTTTATGAAATGAGTACAAAAACTTGTATTCTCTTTACTTTAACAGCAAGGGTAATTTCTACCAGTTGGCATAGGATTCATTTCCTGTAACAGAAAGCAGGATTTCCTAAATTTGTTTCCTGTGCACGCTGCCATTTAGAAGTCTTGAAGTATCTTTATTCAGATATCAGTTACAGCCTTGGGGCTCTGTGAGCTAGTTGTCAGTTGTAGCCATACAGTAACTAACAGGGGAAATGAAATAGATATAATCTGATCAGAGATAAGAGTGCCTGGGATTCCTGGGCAAACAGTCTTTAACCCTGACAAGGGCAGCAGCTGCCAGGACATGAAAGGGTGCAGGATCAATTGGTCTCAGCCTTCTGTCTGCCTGCCTAGGCAACCTAAAGGGGACCCTGCAGAGAGCTCATGGCACAGAAGGATCAATTTGTCCCTTTAGAATGAAATTTATTAGTCGATATCCACTTCAGTGGTGGCTTGGGTAATTTAATTGTCGGAGAGAGCAAAGTTGGAGGATCCTGTGCTGGGCTGCTGTGCTTTGAAATGCTCACATTGTATCAGGCCTGGCTTGGTTGGAGCTGCAAAATGCTGGCAGGGACTTCATTGATTTCCCTCATCAGTGAGCATTGGGCTCCCTTTAAGGTGTTTGAGGGATTTCAAGCCTGCTTTTCATTCTCCTTCCTCTAAGTTGTAAATATACTTTTGCATCTTGAATATTTCTCATTTTTCTGCTGTGGCTGAGAGCACCTTGAGTTAGATGTTTGCAGGGGGGCAGGGCAAACCTGTTCTGTCTGATGTGGAGCTGGGATGTGCATCCCACCCATCCCATCCCAGACACTGCCAGAAGAGCTGTCAGTGCTTCTGATGCCATGGGTGGAGCTGTCCCCTAGTGCCACCTCATTCATTTGTCCTTCTTCACAAGGCTGTGCTTTCCAGAGCTTAATGGGATTGCAGTGAGATGCTGGCAGGGAAGGAGGGATGCAAAGATCTTTCCCAGGCTGAGCTGGGAGCAGAGGTTTGTACCTCTAGGCACTGGGAGCTCACCAATACAGGCAGAAGAACAGCCAGGGCTGCACATGCTGAACATCACACAGCATCATGCTGGAAATAATTCCCAATTATTATTTATTAACCAGAGTATTAGAAAGCCAAGCTCCATCTCTGCTCTGGGAGGCTGCTAGGAGGATTATCTAACTGCACACTTTAATGCACTGAGGATGGCTTGAAGAAACTTTTGAGAAAGATAAGCTTGAAAGAGCCTTTGATTTGTTGTAATCTATGGAGTAAGCCTGCACAAACTTGTTAATATTAAGCCAAATATTGATTCAAATTGACTTAAAGGTCTTTCAAGGCAAAGCCAACTCAATTACTTTTTTTTTTTTTAAATCTGACAATTTTAGACTACTTTATGAAAGGAAAACTTCGGTTTAGGTTCTCTTTTAAGCTTTTGGATGAAAAGGAGCTGAAAAAGTTTCTTCATTTAGTCCCAATTGTATCAATTTATTAATAAAATCTCAACTTGGTGCAAGTATTTAGAGATTCTAATTTTATTGGTACCTCTTGTATGTGATTTCCCAAAATCAGTTTCATTTTTAACTGAGGTATTTGTGGTCGCTTGAGGCAGTAGAGGCAGAACCTGAAAGGCAGAAGGGATAATTAACCTTCAAGTCGACAGCAACCATGTGCCCAGCACTCTTGTTCCTTTGAAAATGTCACTGTAAAACACTTCCAGTATTTCATGTCTGGTTAGGATCCCTTGATCCTTTCTGGGGGCCAGTGATAGATGGGCTCGTGTCAGCTGCTGCTCCATCTGTTACTGCCCAGACAGCTTCTGGAGTTAAATCTCAGCAAGCTCAGGCTGAGATGGATGTGTCAGCTGAGCTGGCCACTCTGGGCCATTCTCAGGGAAGCAAAATAAAGGCTTTGGTCTTCTGGAATTGCTCTGGTTGCAATTGAGTGAAAGCTTGTAGAGAATTCAGGTCCTGAAATAGTAGAGGCTGCAGTCAAAATGATGCCCACGTCAGTTCAGTTAAACCTTGAACAGTCTGGGGGTTGTTTTGGGTTTTTTCTTAGGGGGTTTATTTGTTTTTTAATGTTTAGGGAGAAGAGTTCTCTGCTAAGAAGTGTCTGAGCCAGCCTTCATCTGTCTTGCTGATTACTGCAAAATTGTTGAAATCTGTTGATGAGCTGTTACTACTGAACACACAGAGAATAACACAGAGCTTGTTTTGTTTGGGGTTTTTTAATATGAATTTTTAATGCACTGCATTAGTGTTTTCTGGCTTTGAAATTGTAAATCCAGGGTGGATGCATCCTTTTGAATTCTTAATTTCATAGACAGCAAGCTGGGAAATCATTGTTTCCAAAAGTGTTTGTGAAGGGATTTCCCTGATGTTCCCACGGAGGTTTGGGCACCCTGGGGCTGGGTGGAGGATTCCAGTGCCTGCCCTTTGCTGAGGGTTGTCCTTTGGAATGAAATCATGGAATTATTTAGATTGGAAAAGCCCTTCCAGAACATCGAGTCCGAGCTGTGCCCAGTCCCCACCTTGTCCCCAGCACACAGCACTGAGGAATTCCTTGGACACCTCCAGGGATGGGCATTCCAAACCTCCTTGGGCAACCTCTGCCAAGGCCTGAGCACCCTTTCCATGGTGAAATTCCTGGTGTGCAGTGGAATGTGGCAGTGGAAGGCAGGGGAGGTGACCCTGGGCAGTGCCACGGCTGCATCACACAGGAGCTGGGCTGCCCAAACCCTGCCCATACTGGCAGGAAGGGTCTGGATCTGGAAGAAGCCACTAGGAAGAGCCATGGAGGAGCACCTGTGTTTATTAATGGATCTGTTTGATAGCATCATTAATGACTAATGAATTAATGACTGATGAGTTCTCTGCAGCCACCTGCTGTCCCTCCCCTCGGGAGGTGTGTGGTGTGCCAGGAGCCCTGACCATGCCCTTCTCCTCTCAGGTGGCCCTGGTGCAGTGGACAGAGAGCGTGGGTTTGACTCTGGTGGGCAGAGACCAGTCCTCAGTGCAGCTGAGGAGCCCAGGGGGGCACATCCTCAACTTCAGCATCCTGCAGATCTTCCCCTTCACCTACGAGAGCAAGCGCATGGGCATCATCGTGCGGGTAAGGGCTGCGTGTGCCAGCTGAGGGTGGGGCACGGGCACACCTGGGAGGGAGCCAGGACTCACCTGGGCTGCCCTCCCTGCTCACAGGTGTCACCCAGAGCACAGGAGGGCAGCCAGGCAGGGCTGGGGTACCAACAGCCAGGGCAATCCACTCCCTGCCTGGGCAAGACACGAGGTGAAACACTTGGAAGAGTTTTGGGGTGGCAGGGGAAGTGAGCTGAGAGGCTGAGCTGGTACAGACTCATCACTCTGTTAAATCTGGGAATCCCAGATCCAGGGAATGCATTGAGCACACACTGAGTGTTCCCACAAACGCCTTGTGCTGCAGGGGATACCTGCAACGAGTGTCAGTGCTTCAAATTCATTACTTCTGTAATGAAAATTATCTGGAGACTCTGGGCAGTCTTTTCACGACCTGGAATTAAAATACTATCAACAGAAAAGAGGACTAAAGAATCTCCCTCCCCATTGCTTTTATTGCAAGTGATGAAATGCATTTTTGATGAAATGCTGTTTTATCAAAGGGAGGTGGACAAACCATCAAAGCCAAGGTGAGATTCATTAAATTGTGTTTTTATGCTCAACAGAAATGAATGCCCTGAAATTGTCTTATCATGAGTGTAAGAGTGCTCCTTTTTCTTTTCCCTTCTTGGATTTGAAGTTTATTCCTTTTAAATTGCCTGTTATTTATCTCTTCCCTCACCAAGAAGAAAAAGGTTTCTAGCTTGTATTTCTCTGTTTCGATTTTGCAGTTTGCATTTTAGGCAAAACCAGCAAAACTCCCACTTGTGGTCAGTGGGAGCAACATCAGGCCTAAATCCTGACTGTAAATTCCTTTAAAGAAGCATTGGACCCACTATGTGAATTGTCTTTATTTTGTAACCATTCAGCCACTAAAGTCAGCTCCCTTGTGTGCCCTGTGCAGAATTAGGGTTGAGTGGCAGATGCTGACTGCCTGGGTATTACTTTGCCACATTTGTGTATACTCCAAAATAATATCTTCAAGCAGGGTTTTAATTTCCTTAAAAAAAACCCAAAACAACAGAAAACAAGCATTTATAAATAGGTAGTTAGCAAGTAAAAATTACTTAATTAAATATATGTGTGTGTATGTGTAGGCACTTCATTTGGTTTGATCCACAGCTTGAAGGGTGTTCACCTTTTCAGTGCATCTCCTAAACTGTGCTGCTTGTTTAAAAACAGAAATAGGAGGAGGGAGGAAATACAGAAGAATACAGCAGAGGAAAATACACCCAGGGAGGGAGATGAAGCTGCACTCAGCACTGCAATGAGCAGAACCCAAAGGGTTAATTTCTGCTCACCTGCACAGGTATTACCTATCCTTACAAACTGCAGTTTTTTGTGAGAATTTTGCTTCCTGCACAGCCTGGGGACAGAGTGTGAGCAGAGTGTGTCCAGCCCAGCCCTGTAGGCACCATCTCCCTGCACATCCTGTCTGCTCTGCCCCTAGGAAAAGATCTCCTTCAGCACGACTGTTAGGAAATAAAGCAATAGTTAATAGTGAAAACAAGTCACAGATGTTGCCTGGTTTGGGATATTTTTGCAATATCCGAGTGTTTCCTTGCGCTCAACTGTCATTTCTGTACCTGATTATTTCAATTCTAAGAAATCCTGTTCTACCCAAGCAGCCTCCTCACCCAAGTGTGCACTGACTTATCTTCCTCTTTGAAGAAGGCCTGTTTGTTTGACCACAATATTTTCCATTCTTCGTTTTCTTTGCCTTTTTTTTTTTTTTTTTTTTTTTTCCCCTTACCCGTGTGGAATGATCTTTGTTGTGGAGCAGAGATAGTGCCATTGTCATATCTGGAATTGAAAGGAGCCTTTGAACCGTGGCCAGAGGCAGACCATGGTGGAAAAAGATGCTTCCCCAAAACAATATAACTGGCAAATCTGTGTGCAGATTTATAGAGTGATCTTGCCATGATCTGAGAACGCACTAACCTCCTCCTGAACTCGGGCAGAGGAAATGACTAATGCAAGGAGATAGCTGATACAGTATTTATATTGGACAAAAAATCTAAACTCTCTTAAGCCAGCTCTGCAGCACGGGAAGTGCAGTCTTTATTCAGTTTCCTACAGAGATGTTGTGAGACACTCTTTAATCAAATAATTTCATAGATAAACCTTTACCTTTGGCTGCTGCCAGAAGTGGTGTGTTTTATTTAAGCAGAGTCTGGTTGTTTTGGAAGAGTGACACCCGTTTTCCTCTGGGGATGTGGGATGTGTATCACTGTGTGAGGGCTGGATGTTCCAGGACATTGAAAACCACACTTCTTAATTATGAGCATCTTCCTTGTGAATATTTCTGTGAGCTTGGCAAAAATATTCAGCAAAGGAGCTTCATTATCCTTGGCTACTTCTTAATTTCCTCAGTCAAGACTCTCCTTTTCTTTGCAGTTTTAGTGTCCACATCAGGTGCTACATTATGCCAATTTTTTTTTTTTTGCTATGAATTTAAAGTCTCTTTTGCCAGTGCCACAGGACCTGGGGCTTTTAATTTAATATGTATGAGAACCTCCACCACTAATTTCTGTAATGGTGGAACAGACTGACCCAAATATTAGGTGAGAGAATGAAGAAGTGTCCACTTTTCTTTCATTTCTCTTATTCCTAAAATACTTTGGCCCCTTCATTCACAGCTGTTTATTTCAGACCTTCCTGGGCTTTTTTGTTTTGCATTTTAAATTTGTTTTCATCCTATCCCTGGTGGCTGTCTTGGTTTGCAGAGAAGTTTGTTCCTTACTCATTGTTTTGTGTCCTTTGAGGAAATTGCCAGGGTTTCTATTAGCTTGTAAAACTCAGAGCTGTGGCTTCCTTACATATCTGCCTGCTTAGAAAGGACTTTTTGATTTGTGGTGATGTAAATATGCTTTGCTTGCAGCCTATAAACTCCTTGTATCAGATAAGGCAGGCAGCAATCTAAGCTTCAATTATGCTTATTCCATATGGTGTAACAGAGCAGGAAAATCAGGGTGATTTTTACTCTGCTGAGCTTTGTGCATCTGTTTTATTGTGCCAGGTAAGCAGGGAATCAAGGCAAGGCAGTCAGGGCTGGGAGGGGTCTGTCTGTGTGGAGATGCTGATTAAAAAGCTGATCCTCCTTGTCTAAAGCATTCATTCCTGCTGGCAGGAGCTGAGTGGCAATTGAGCAGGCATCTCCTCTGGCCCCAGAGCAGCAGCTGAGCTGGTGGCCCTTCACCTGCCCCAGAGCAGACAATTCTGTGCCTGCTGTGCTGAGAACTCAGCTCCCTTTGCTGAGGCCCCCCAGATGTGTTCCTGCTGTCCCAGCTGAGGTTGGTGGTGTGTCTGTGCTGTGTCTGCAGGATGAATCCTCGGGGGAGATCACGTTCTACATGAAGGGGGCAGATGTGGTGATGGCTGGCATCGTGCAGTACAACGACTGGCTGGAGGAGGAGGTAGGGGGAGAGCTGCTCCTGCTCTCTGCTCTGGGACAGAGCTGCCACTGTGAGGGGGGACCTCACTGCTGAAATACCTGCAAGCCACAGGGTCACTGCTCCTGGCAATCCACTGGATTAGTCCTCGGCCAAATAGATCCACAGGAGCAAGGGTGTCAGTGGCCAGTTCAGCATATTTAATGTAGAATAAGTCCTGTGAATAAAGAGGGTTTTACTCAAAACTGATTGACACTCACCAGATTTGTCCTGGGCTTGATTCTGTGTTAGGATCTGTTTTAGCCTGAAGGGTCTAATTTCAGAACTGCATTTGGCAGCTTTGTACTGGGGTGTGTTTGTCAGGTAGCAGTAATGGTGGCACAGAGTTAATGGAATTCCAGAGTGGTGTGGGTTGGAAGGGACATTAAATCCCATCCCATTGCACCCCCTGCCATGGGCAGGGACACCTTCCACTATCCCAGGGTGCTCTAAGCCCTCTTCAGCCTGGCCTTGGACACTTTTAGGGCATCCTCAGCAGTAGCTTCAGTTACTGATTCTGTGGTGTTCAGAGGAATAATAATAACTTGGTCTTATTTTAAAGAGTTAATTGCCAAAGATATGAAGTCTACAAATCCCAGACCTGTGGACTTTTACTTAGAGACAATGTAATCACTGGGATTGTATTTGCCACCCTGGTGTAGCAGAGGACATTTTTCTTCCTGATCACTGGGCTGGTCACAAAGCATTGCAGATCCCCTCTTTCCTCTCGAGTTTATCATGCACTTTATCAGATGTTATAGACTCGCTGGGGTTGCTCAAATGGGATGGTTATTTTCTTAACCTGCTATCTTACACTGCCATCTCCACACTGCTGTGCATAAATCATTTCAGTGAAGCTGCAGTTTATGGTTTACAATGTGCTCCTTCTTTGCAGTGTGGTAACATGGCTCGGGAAGGCCTGAGGGTTCTTGTCGTGGCCAAGAAGTCTCTGACAGAAGAGCAGTATCAAGACTTTGAAGTAAGTTTTTATTTGGGGTTTTTTTTTCCCCCTGTGATTTTAAACAAAGAATCACTGAAGTGATTCTCACAAAACTCTTGTGATAATGCTGCCTCTCACCTCCCAGCTCTCTGCTAGAATTGTTGTTCTAAAGTGTCTTGATATTCTTTTAATCAAAGTTGCTTTCCAAGTGACAAGTATGAAGTGTTTATCCCAGCAAAGACCCTCCCAAGCATTTCCTGAATACTGCCTTGTAGTCTCTTGTGGTTATAAATTCTGCAAATTCTCATGAATTGTTAGACAAAAGATTTGGGAAACATGTTGGCTTTTCATTTCCAATGTTGTATTCTGACATCCAGGGAAACTGCAAACAACCAGAACACAACCCAGTCAGCTCTGCAAACACAGGCTCCATGTGTGGGGTTTGTGTCTCTGCCCAGGGCACTGCCTGGCTTATCCAGGCTGGCAGAACGGGAAGGGGAACTTCAGTTAATGCAGGGATGGGGTGGAACTGCTTGGGATTCCGTGGTGCCATTGTTTCTGTGGTGTCATTGTTGCCTGTGGTGGGAGGGAGCTGCTTGCAGGCTCTGTGCAGGTGCCACTCTAGCAGCTGCTGTGCCTTTGTGCCCTCCTGGGACTGCCCAGGGACTAAACAGCAACAGCTCCCTGAAGCATTTTCCACCTGACTCTGTACCAGGCACCTGGAGCTCACCAGCCCTTACAGGTTCCATCTCTGAACCACAGAACCACAGTTGGGTTGGAAGGTGCCTCAAAGAGGATGTAGTTCCAAGGTGCACAGGGACACCTTTCCCTAGAGCAGGTGGAAGGCCACAGAGGGTGGTTGGCTGCTTCCCCCTGGAGCTGGGCAGCCCTGTGACCCCACAAGCTGACCTTTTTCTGTGTCCCCAAAGGCTGATCCCAAAGTGCTGTGTGTCCCCAAAGGCTCACCTTCCTCTGTGTCCCCAGGCACGCTACGTCCAGGCCAAGCTGAGCGTGCACGACCGCTCCCTCAAAGTGGCCACGGTCATCGAGAGCCTGGAGATGGAGATGGAGCTGCTGTGTCTCACTGGGGTGGAGGATCAGCTGCAGACAGACGTCAGGCCCACGCTGGAGACACTGAGGAACGCTGGCATTAAGGTCTGCCTAAGCCAGGGCTGCTCCAGCAGAGCAGAGACCCTCTGGAGTGCGTGGCACTGTCCCACGGGCACTCAGTTAAAAGTTGGGGGCTTTAAACATCACTTGGAGAACAAAACGTGCTGCAAGTAGTAAATCCTGACACATGAGTGTGTCACCTCTTGTGCTTTTCGTGTTCTCCTGCAGAGAAAGGCACAAGGGAGGATCCAAAAGGAGATTTTTGGGCAATTCTTTCAGGGAGTTGCATGAAACATGGCAGGTTTGGCTTTTGGTGCATGAACCTCCGTGCTGGGCTTGGAGCTGTGGATATCCACGTTTTCAGTAGCCACTAGAGGGGAGTCTGAGCCAAGAGAATCAGGGAGTGGATTTTTTTTTTTTTTTTCCAGCTTTCTGGGCTCCAGCATCTGTGACTCCACTCCTACAGCCTGAGCTGTGCTCAGCAGTGAGGGAGCTGCTGTGGTGTCTGTGTAGGTTCTCTCTGAAAACTTTGTCAGCCTTGCAAAAAGGGTGAAAAATGGATTAAACATTCAGATTTGGGTAAGAAAAGTAGGTGAAAGGTCTTGGTTGTGGTTTCTCTGCTTTAAGTTGCAAAGTGAGCAAAAATCTGAAGCTGTGCTGTGAATGCAAAGCAGGGCTGTGTGGCTGAGGCTGAGGTAGGAAGGGGAATTCAGTTCTTGGGACGAGCTTCCAAAAGTGCTTTTTGTTTGGGGCCATCCCTGTAAACAACAGAGACTTCAGCAGAGAAGTGAGATCAGGGGAATCAGAGTTCTCAGTGATGTTGTAGTGCTGGCCCAGCACTCCAAAGGTTTTCCTTCTTCCTTTTCTCCTCACCTTGGCTGGAGGTGTGGGATGGGCTGAGCACTCCTTGCACTGCAGTGTTCATCAGGGCATTGCATGTGAGGGTAAATCCAGAATGAAGGGGACCTTGCAGTTCATGAACAAATAAACGAGTCTTTGTGTGGATTTTTTTGTTGATGTTTTGGGGTTTTCTTAGGGTTTTTGTATTTTTCATTAAATATTCTTGGGCAGTGTCCTGAAAGAATAAAAACACCAGTGGAAAAAACCCAAGTCACTGTGATATATTTACACTGGAGAAGGAATTCCCAGCCATTGCTGCTGACATTGCTTTCTAACTCCCTCCCCTCACCAGCACAAAATAAAAGGAGCAGTGTAGATTTAAAAAAAAAAAACCTTAAAAAAAAACCCTCAACCAAGTGAGTGTGTTCCAGACGTACACATCAGCACTGAGCTAACCCCAGTTGCATCATCCACATTTCAGGCTGGGCCAGGAGGGATCTTTCTGCAGCAGGGCTTGGTTGAGAAATGGCTGGGGAGGGACACATTAACACATAAATACACATTTTTTAACTTGCATTTTGTGGGTTTATCAGCAGAATCTTGAAATATTGCAGGTGGGAAAAATGTTACACAGAGTTTGTAACTTCCTTTGTGTCTCAGCCTCTTTAAGAGCTTTGCTTTCTTTCACTTGTGGGAATTTTCTTGTGTGTTTTGAAACAGAAGTTTTTTTAGAAGAATAATTTGTATGTGTATTTTAACAGTCCTTTTATAAGCCTGAAGGGGCAGGTGGTACTTGCAGAGGTCCTGCAGTCGTGGTTGTTGACTTGATTGAACACATGAAATGTTTGGGTTTTAGGTGTGGATGCTGACAGGGGATAAGCTGGAGACAGCCACGTGTACAGCCAAGAACGCTCATCTGGTGACACGGACACAGGACATCCATATATTCAGACTAGTGAGTAACAGCCACAGAGCCTCTCTCAAGGGGCCCAGACTCTGGGGCAGGAGGGCTGTGACATCACAGCTGATTTCCAGCAGGGTATTTTTATTCCTTTGACCCAGCTTTCTACCCCAAGTTTTTATTTCTGTGACTGCGTGCCCTAACTCAGTGTGCTGCCTGTCCTGCCTGTGTCACTTTTGTTCCCTCTGGGATTCTTTGCTGTTTTCTCACCCCAGTGAAGCACACCTTGCTCAGTTGCATCCTCCCCCAGGTGACAAACCGAGGAGAAGCCCACCTGGAGCTGAACGCCTTCCGCCGCAAGCACGACTGTGCCCTGGTCATCTCGGGGGACTCCCTGGAGGTACTGATGCCTTGAGTTGGAGCTTTCATATTTGCCACATTCTGTACTGCCTTAGTGTGTGACTCTGAACTTCATATAAAGTGTTAGCAAGTTCTCCTCACAGTGTAGTTAGATAAAACAATCCTTGTCCAACCTGAGAGCCAAGGACACCGCTGCAGCTTCAGCCCCAAAAAGTTCAAACAGCAGTGAATGGAGGAGAGAATCTGGGAGGATGGGACTGCAGAACCTGGAGCTGGAATTGGACAATGAACCCCAATATGGAAATGGAAACAAAACTGAAAAAAGTGTAAAAACTCCTGACCCATTGGGTCCACCTTGGGTGTAGCCATGGCTGGACTCTTGCACTGCCCAGGGTGAATCCTTTGAAGGCTTTTTAATAAATCCCTGCTTTATTCCTGTAACTCCATCCAGCCCCTGTTCTAGGTAGACTCTCAAGGCATCAGTAGGGCGAGCCCTGGGCTGGAGGAACACCTGCTGTGTGGGCAGGAGGCTAACCCAGGTGTGTGCTGTGTGTACCCAGGTGTGCCTCAAGTACTACGAGTACGAGTTCATGGAGCTGGCGTGCCAGTGCCCCGCTGTCGTGTGCTGCCGCTGTGCCCCCACGCAGAAAGCTCAGATTGTGAGGCTGCTGCAGGAGAGGACAGGCAAACTCACCTGTGCCGTGGGTGAGTGAGCAGCCAGGAGCAGTGACCACAGAGAATGGCACCTCCAGTTTCTTCTTTTTGGGTGAACACGTCATCTCGTACCACCTAGGAATGGGGATTTAGGGAGCGGTGGGTTTGTGGGATGATGGAGAAGATGATTGGAATTTTGCACGTGGAAATTCAATGCCTAACTCCTCCCTCATCAGCCTTTCAGGTGGCATCTTTGCAAAACAGAGCTTGAACCTGATCAAGTGAAGTGCCACTGTTAATCTGTGAACTTTGTTTCAGCATTGTAGATATAATGGTAGCACCTACAAGTGAGATACCTCAATCACTGACCTACTTATTAAAAAAAAATTTAAGAATTTAAATTCATGATTTTTGTTTAAAATCTTGCTTTGGTTGATTGGGTTAAGTGTTTTTTATACTATTCCAGCGTGGTGGAGATGACTTTGGGGTTGTAGGTTGCCCCTGTTGCTGAACTCCTGGTTTTGTTTGTGCTCTGCCCTGCAGGTGATGGAGGGAATGATGTTAGCATGATTCAGGAGGCTGACTGTGGTGTTGGAGTTGAAGGAAAGGTGAGATTACCTCATGTTTAATGAGAATTTCTGTGGCCAGTTTTCAAGCAACTCTTAAATGAATTCTCAGACATTTGTGCAAGAAAGGGAACAAGAAACATCATCAGACCAGTAGCCCTGTCATGAGAAGTAATTTGGTTATAAAGGAGGCTACTGTTAAAGGAGTTCAAATTCATTATTTGGTTCTTTGCAGAATCCCTGAATTTATGCCCTCGTGGTTAGTTTTGGGGGATTATTATTTATTAATTAAAAACTGTTCATATGAGTTTGCAGAACAAACTCAGGGTTAAAACTCTGATTCCTGCACCTGGAGCTGTGTGGAGCTGCAGGACTGGATTGGCAGCAGCAGACAGACTCTGCTTGCAGTGAGCCAAAATTGTGTGAACTTTTGAGACTGAGAATTTGTGTTCAGCACTTGATAGGAGTGTCACATTAACATGTGTGTTGTGGATCAGCGTCCAGAGGTTGCCTGCAATTGGAGGCCAAGGTTCAAATGGGAATTCTCCTCATATTTTTGCTCTTTGCTTAAAACCCACAGTGGAAGGAGAAGTACTGAGGCAATGCTCTCCCTCACCTAACATACTGCAAATATTCCTGGAAATTCTGTCAGTGATAACTCAATAATAACACGATATTCTTTGTTTCCAGTGCTGAAATGATCTCACTGTGCTTTCCCTTGCTCTGGTTCCCAGGAAGGGAAGCAGGCATCGCTGGCAGCTGATTTCTCCATCACTCAGTTCAAGCACCTGGGTCGTTTGCTCATGGTCCATGGAAGGAACAGCTACAAGAGGTCTGCAGCCCTCAGCCAGTTTGTGATCCACAGGAGCCTCTGCATCAGCACCATGCAGGTAAATGGGCTGGGAGGGGCTTTCCAAAGAGAGGGAGAGAAGCCAAATCATAAAGGAAAGGTCTTGTGTCTCATCTGGAATGCTGCTCTTTCTTCTCCTGAAAATTTTTAATGGGTTAGGACTTGAGGTTGTTACTTTGATATGAAAACACATTAGAAAATTTCTGGTATTGGAAAAATACCAGCAACTGCTCCAAAGGACTAAAAAGGGTTGATGTCCCATTAGTCTGTCTTCATTTCAGGAATGCTCCAGTTTGAACAGAGTGTATTTTTGAGGTGTTACTTTTCCTGCAGTAACTCAGTGCCTAAAAAGCTCATTTCTTTTCTAGGCTGTTTTCTCATCAGTGTTTTACTTTGCTTCAGTTCCTCTCTACCAAGGCTTCCTCATCATTGGGTAAGAGCTCACTTTTTACTGGGAATGAGGAAAACCTCTGCACAATGGTCCCTTTTGTGCTGGTTAACATGCAAGCCATGCACATCTCCTCTCTGCTCACAGCACTGCTTCAGGAGCTGCATGTGAGCCTTGTTCCCTTCCAGTGCAGACACTTCCAGAAACCTTTCAGCAGGATGGTTTGTCGTGTTTGGGAAGCAGCCCATCCTCCAGAATTTCTCCTTTGATCCCTTTAAAAGCAGAGGGACAGTTGTTCTGGGCTGGTGTGTGCACAGCACTGAGAGGCAGTGCCAGGAAGAAGGACACCCCAACCTTAGTTTCTGTCCAAAAACTGTCTAAAACAGGGCATTGCAACTGTAATCCCACTATGACTTTTTATACCTTTGAGTACCTAATTAAAAAAACCCAGCAAATTCATCTCCACTGCCTTCTGATGCAAACAGACTCAACCCTGAGCTGTAGAACAGACTCTGGGATGGTCACAGGTCAGTCTTTGGCTCCATTAAAAACCCACTGCAGTATTTGAACCAGTCACTTGTGTATGAGTGTTCCTGATCAAAAAGCAATCAATCAAAAGTCACAAAAAAACAATCAAGCAATCACATCAATCCTGATGTTTTTCTACCTGCAAAACTCTGGTGTGCTGCATTTGCCAGTTTTTATGATGTGTACATTATTTGGCACTTCAAGAATATTGTATTTCATTTCTGGAGCCTAGCATGTGTTTGCTCATCTCCACCTGAGATAATTTACTGTTCTCCTGCCTTCTTCCCAGGTACTCCACCATTTACACCATGTTTCCTGTGTTTTCTCTTGTCCTGGACAAGGATGTGAAATCTGAAGTGGCAATGTTGTACCCAGAGCTCTACAAAGATCTTCTTAAGGTGGGGGAGACTCTTGTTGGTGTGTTTTGCTTTATGGCAAGGATCCTCATCTTGATTTGAAACTCTAAATGTGTAAAATCAAATATATTGCCAGGAGATCCAGAACTTTATTGGGCCCTTCCAGGCAAAATTCTGTTCAAGTCAAATTTGAATCAACAGATAGAACCAGAATTCCTGGCAGTTGCATATTGAATGCTGCATGAAATGCAATTTATTAAAAACGGCTGGGCAAGTAGAAGTTCCATTCTGTGGGAAATTCTAGGGATTTAATATTACTAATTTGTTCCATCATAAAAGGAAAAGAGAAATTGCTGGGGATTTGGCACTGTCCTGAAGCCAGAAAAGGGGAGAGGGGAAGGGATATGCTCATTTGAGGGAGGCAGGGGGTTATCCCAGAGTTTCTTCATTAGAAATTTGACTGGAGCATGATCTAAAGGTTTGCTTGCTGTGCCATTTTTGTAGCTTTGGCATCTAAGTCAGGTCCTTCTCCTTAGACAAAGAAAACTTTATTTTATGTTTACCATAGAAATACCAGGAAGGTAAATCCTGTCTTAGGTTCCTTTTTAATTTTTTTCTTCCTCCCTGGAAAATGTTTTGAATAACTGGGGTATGCAGCCTGGGAACATCTTTCTTAGTTGGAGGAAAGGATGGACTGAGTCTTCCCCAGATCCTTTCCCTCAAGGGTTCCTGTTAAACAGATACTCTGAGAAGCACAGCCTGTTTTTCCAGAGCCTCAATAAGTCTCCATCTGGTTTCACTTGGATGTTGTCTCTTATGTCATAAACCACTAATTCTTCAACCATCCTTAGGCCTGGTCTAAACATAGGGGGTTTTGTGCTGGTATAGCTGTGTTGGCTGGAGATGGTTTTTTAAAAATCTATCTGCCTTCAATATGAGGGTGATTTGTGTGTGTCTAGAATACAATATTCATGTATTCACATCAGTGTGTGTACACACATCTTATATTTCACAGCACAGTGACTAAACTCCTGAGGCATCTTTGCACTGAATTAATTGTGTGTGCAGAGAGGGCCAGGTTGTGCTGGGGGAGCCCTGAGTTCCTTCATGCACCAGAAAAATGAGAATAAAGGGGCACTGCCTCAGGGATGCTTGGTTTTTTAAATTTAATTATTTTTCCAAATCATCTTCCAATTGTCTTATTAATTTCTAAGTTGATCAGTAAGTGAATTTTCATGAAAGAAAACCCCAATGGAGCTTTGTCTTTTTTTTTTTTCCCCCCACCCAGGGACGACCATTGTCATACAAAACATTTTTAATCTGGGTCTTGATAAGCATTTATCAAGGTAAGAAATCAACTCCTGCTTGTGCTTTAGACGTTGTGGTGTGTGTGGCTATCTAAGTTTTGGTGTTGCAGAAGTTAAGGAAGGCATGAAGTGAATTTCCCAAAGTATCTTTGTGGTGGTGAATATATATTTTTTTTGTCTCGGAAAATGTCGGTAACGTTACCAAAGGAAAAAATGATCTAAACCCAAATATTGGCAGTAATTGGCCAAGCCTGTGATGCAGAATTCAAACCATTGTGCCTCTTCCCATCAGAACCATCCACTGGAATTCTGTGCAAATTCCTTGCACTGCTGTACTTGCCTCATCTGTAAAGCAGAGCTCATGACTCTCCTGCCTCTTCTTTTGGGAAAAGTTCTCCAATCTATGGATTTTGCATGTTTTTGTCAGCATGGAAAATTCAGCATCTGTAGCCTTCTGTGTTTTATCCAGAAATTGAAGTGACAATAGTTCTGGTTGCTTCACAGTCATCCATAACTCAGGGTCAGAGTCAAGCTCATGTTCTTGATCATATCTCCTGCACTCCAATTATGCTGCTGAAGCAATTAAATAAATGCCTTAATTACAATGCATTTTCAACAGTGGATGTAATAATTTGGGTATATATCTAAGAAGGTCTTTTCTTTCATTTTGTCTTTTTTTTTTAATCGAGTACCCTCAAGCTCCAGTGCTCTCTATAAGTATTAATCAGGGAATTGTAGAAAACAGGTCGATAATGTGGAGCTAAAAGCTGGAGTGGCCAAATTAATTGTTTTCCAAAACTCTTTATCAACAAGAGTCAAAATAAGGGATCAAAATAAGCAGGTAATTCTTATGGATTTAATTGATATTGCCATCCTCAGCAGGGAGTGAATCTAGGAGTGTGAAATCTCTAGGGTTAGCTTGATTTCCTGAAATCTGTCATGGGGGTCCTAGAGCAGGGATCGAGGGTTGGGGATGCTGGAAAACCCCATGGCAAAGCCAGGGCATTGAGAGAACACTCCCAGGTGGTGGAAGGCTGCAGCCAGAGGGTGATGAGATTCCAGAGGAGGGAAAGATTCCTCCTTGAGCTGAGAGCCCTCTCTGGTTACAGGGCTTGGTTCAAGTGACTTCACCAGAGCTGTGCTCAATAACCAGCAAACAGTGGCCAAACAACGGGGCCAGTTGCTAGCAGAGATGAGCCCGACCAGAACTTGAGCAGTCCCAAAGTTTGGAAAGTTCACAGCTGGGTTTGAACTCTGTGGCTCGAGCTCGGTTCCCTCGCAGGTTTTCCCTTCCCTTCCCATCCAGCCTGAGTGATGGATGTTGGTGTGGATTACTCATGCTGCTCACTCACATGAGTTATTTGTGCAGGTGGCCTGGAGCGAGCCCTGGCCAGCCAGGAGAGAGAGGAGCACAAACAATGCCTCGTTAGCAGAGCTTTAATGGCATTCTCTTAGGGGGAGGTGGAAAGGGGAGAGCTCTTGCAGTGCAAATTGAGGCTCACTTGTATCCACTGAGCTTTTCAACACTCTGCTGCCTCTTGGCACCGAGGCAATGCGGTAGGAGAGAGAAGGATTTGATATCTTTTAGCTTCTGAGTAGTGACCAAGTGCTTTTGTGGGAGGATAGAGTTTCATGATGTTAGAGATCTCCAGTTGCCAAAACAGCATGTATTAATTTCCTATCTCCATGTGTCTATGAGTATGATAGACTGTTAGAAAACTTTGGGTACCTCTGCTGTAACTTTTCCCTGTCTTCTCATCAGTTCTGTCTCCTAAATAGTAACTGATTCGTTGTCGTTACGTTCATCAGGTTTCATGAAAAACAGCCTCAAGAGAGGATTGTTTCAACCTTTCCAAGACCTAACTGTGGGTTTTAGAGCTGAGCCTGGTGTTTGACTGAAATAATTCCATTCCCTTGCAGGTAGCATCATCATGTATGGAGCTCTCCTCCTGTTTGAATCGGAATTTGTGCACATTGTTGCCATTTCCTTCACGTCCCTGATTCTCACTGAGCTGCTGATGGTGGCACTGACGATCCAGACGTGGCACTGGCTCATGATCGTGGCTGAGCTGCTCAGCCTCTCCTGCTACATCGCCTCCCTGGTCTTCTTGCACGAGTTTATTGGTGAGGTTTAATGCTCTCCTCCAGCCAGTTCAGGGCTAAGCTGAGCAAAAGGCTCTCGGTGGAGCCAACAGTAAGCACAGTGACAGTGGTAGCACAGTAAACTCTCTGTGATTTCAAGGAAGATATTTTATGGTTTTGTCTCACAGAAAAATGCTAGAGAGAAGGTAAAGGTGGTCAGCAGAGTGTGCTCTCATCCATCCATTCTTTGAGTTCCAGCACATGTCAGGTGTCTCATGTAACAATGACCTTTATTTCCAAATGGGAATTTGAGATGGAAAATTGAAGTCTCTGCTGTTGGATTGAAAGATTTGGTCTTTTAAACTGGGTGAAGGAGCTGCCTCCTAAAACTTACCTTATCTGTTCACTGGGACCATTCTCTTATGGGTTTGGTTGCTGATGGTGTTTTAGTTGCCTGAAGCAGAACTAATCCTATTCCTTGGCTAGAGGAAAAAGGGTGAGGAGTTCCAGATTCCCCCAGTAACTGAGTTGCAAATATCAGACCATGGGCTTGTTCCAGTGTTCATTCAGGAACCACAAGATGTCACTGCTTCTTCCATAAAGCTCTTTCCTAGCTGAAGACAACAGGGATAACTTCCCCCCTGGCTGGATCTGTCTCTTGCATGTGGTTATGCCAGTTCCATTTGGAACGATGCTTGAACTCTTCTGGTGAATATTTTGAGGTGTTTTGAGTCAAGAGCTGTGTTTGCTGGGCTCAGCCAAGCAGCAGAGGCACTCCCAGAGTGGGAGGACACACAGTGCTTGGCAGTGCCAGGAGGATATCCCTGTCTCAGTGGGGTTTGGGAGAGCAGTTACCTGTGAGAGCCACGTTCCCCACACCCCAGTGCTCAGCACATCTCTGCATCTTCTGGGCAAGAGGAGTGAGGAGCCAGGTATCATAGGAGCTCTCAACTTGGAGATGAGGCAGTTTTAAGAATTGTAAAATCACAGAATGGGCTGAGTTGGAAGGGAACTCAAAGATGATCTAGTGCCATGGGCAGAAGGATGCAGTGGCAGATGGAGCTGCTTTTCTGCTTTCCAGAAGGTCCTCCCTGTGTTTTTGACTCTGTGCTTGTTTCCCCACACAGATGTTTACTTCATTGCCACCTTGTCGTTCCTGTGGAAGGTCACTGTCATCACCCTGGTGAGCTGCCTGCCCCTCTACGTCCTCAAGTACCTGAGACGGAGGTTTTCTCCCCCCAGCTACTCGAAGCTCACGTCCTAGGGCTGCTCCTGGCACAAGACAGAGCTTGCCCAGGGCCCAGAGACAAAGCCCAGCTGTCCCAAAATGAACACACCCCGTGGTAATCTCTGTTACCTGCTGCTGTAGTGAGAGACTTCCAGACTGCCCTGGACAGGAACCTAACACCAGAAGGGAGTGTTTGGAGGGTGGAGGCTCTGAGTTCATCCAGTTCTTGGCACTTTTGTTCTACTTAACTGGGGTCAAATGCATGGAACTGCGATGGCAATGGGTTTCTCTTGCATGGTTCAAAGTCTGTGGAAGCTGCTACCTGACCTTGGGATTTACATTTGATAATTTACAGTGAACTTTTGAAGTGTCTGCGCTGTTCTTTGCATTGTGTTACCTTTTTTTTTTATGTTATTTGTCTTTCTGATTCAAGTAGTTACATTCTTTTTACATCTTGGAAATCCCTTAATGTAGGTGATGCAGTACCCTGCTGACAGCTGATTCCTGATTTATGGCATGTTGTTTCCATAATGGGGCTCCAGCCTGTCGGATCTACACACACACAGGAGAGAGAATCTGAGCGTGTCTGAGATTTTCCTTCCGTTGAAATGTGCTCACCCCAGTGATTTTGGAGGTATCCAGCCATTGATAAAGGCAGAGAAGTGGTAGCTCAAAACCAGAGAATTCAGTTTTGTTTAGCTTTTGTGCTTCCTGTTAAAAGGAGCCAGTGACATAATAGTTTTACTCTCTATTTATTTGTGTAGCAGAAAATTATCTAAACTAAAGAAAATCCTCTTTGGAACAGAACTTTGCAGTTGATCATCCTTGAAATGTGTCGACAACGTGAGAAGAGACTCGTACTGTTCTGCAGACAATGTGGCAGACGTGTCTTGAATCCTTGGAGACTGCAAGGAGAGGTCACAGAGCTGCTACTCCTCACAGCTCCATGAAATCTGTTTCCTGTTAGTGTGAAACTTTGAGGATGAGCTGCAAATAAGCAGAGGCACTCCTAGGTGGATGTTTTAATGACATACTCCCTGCAGAGAGGCAGTTTTTGGAACCTTGAGCTTGCTTGGCTCTAAAAACCAAACCTGAATCACAGCAGGGGGTTCGTACAAAGGCATTAGGTTGTGTGCAGAGCAAATTTATGCACTTTTAATTTTCAAAAGTTAAACTCAATGAGTTCTGTCATTATTCTAAACTTTGGTCCACATTATAATGTCATGAGGAGAGCAACACATGCTTGGGCTTCTCAGCAGGACAGAGACTTACAGGGGCCTTTTAGAGCTGGGTTGATGCATCAAATTAGGATGGCTCTTAGTGGCAGCCATCCTTGTCTGAGCCTCTTCAGGCTGTGCTGAATTAGTCTCTCGCTGTCTTCTTGCCACATCAGAGGAACCACGGGCAGGGCTGGCACTGCCTGGTGCCCTTGTTCCTTGGCTGCACAGGAGGGAAAGAGCCCAGAGCAGAGCCTGAGCTCCTGTCCTAAATCAGAGCCCACAGCCTGAGCTCCTGTCCCAGAGCCTGAGCTCCTGTCCTAAATCAGAGCCCAGAGCCTGAGCTCCTTCTCCTGTCCCAAATCAGAGCCCACAGCCTGAGCTCCTTCTCCTGTCCCAAATCAGAGCCTGAGCTCCCTTCTTGGAGCTGGGCCCACAGCCTCCTGGGAATTAATGCCATTTTGCCAGAAAAATCCTTAACATTGTCTTCATCATGACTGGATAGTGTTGGCCATGCCACTGTTCTGGAGTCCCCAGATAGCATTTCACAGAATCATGGAATGGTTTGGGTTGGAAGGGACCTTAAAGCTCATCCAGTGCCCCCCCTGCCATGGCAGGGACACCTTCCACTATCCCAGGCTGCTCCAACCCCAGTGTCCAGCCTGGCCTTGGGCACTGCCAGGGATCCAGGGGCAGCCACAGCTTCTCTGGGCACCCTGTGCCAGGGTCTGGCCACCCTCACAGGGCAGAATTTCTTCTCAATATCCCATCTAATTTGCTTTCATTAGTTTAAGTACAAGAACCAAGAATTCCTGTTGGTCCCAGGGGGTGTCTGAGCAGCCCAGTCCCTCTCTCCTGTGTGTTGGTAGCTCAGTGTCCTGCAACAGTGCCAAGCTACTGTGTGTAAATATTTGAGACATATAAATGGTAGAATTCACTGTTTCCTCAAGTCAATACAGTTTACACTGAGTGGACCATATTTGCAAACTATTAGCTTACACCAAGAAAGGGAGTGAACTGTGATTTCATTTGTATTTATTGAATCATAAGTTTAGTAGCATATTTAGTAGAGTTGATAGTGATCTATAGCTGTGTTTTGGGGTGTGGATTATGTTCTTTGCAGCTCGTGTTTTTCCACAAGGTAGTAAATCCAGGAAGTCATTTCTGCCTAGATATGCACTACATTTTTTAAAGCAGTCAGAGCCTAAAACTGCCATCTAACAAGCAGCAGAAAAGAGGAGCACTTGTATTTTTCAACTTGAGCACTTTATGTTTGCAACCCATTTCTCTTAAGTTATTTAAAAATGTTTTTAAAAATTTAATACACATGATCCTATTTACTGTACATTAAAATAAACGGATTCTCTGCTGGAAATTTCATCTTTTCCTCTAATATGCTCATAATTTGTACTTTTGGGGAGTGAAGCATTGTTTTCTTCTTCTGTGTAGTATCTTGTTTGTGGCCTTAGTGTTCTTCCTATTGCTTTATCTGTGTGGGTTATGTGCTGTAGCAGTTTATGTGTGACTTGTGTGCTTTGGGGCTGCTTCAGGTGACTTCCCTGGGTACCAGTGTGAGTTTCACTGCTGCCCCTGGCTCCAGGTGATGTCCCTGGGTGCCAGAGTCTCACCCTGCTCCTGCTGTCCCGTGCTGAGCTGTTGCAGGGTGAGGTTCTGTGGCACACTCTGTTCTCCTCCTGCACCTCTGCAGTAATTCCAGGTGTGTCACAACCCTCTCTATCCCCTTAACTCTGGATTTCTCTCCTCCACTGAGCTTGTCCTGTTCATCTGTGCAAACACGGGTTTAGCTCAGCTCGTGGTGCAGTGGAAACCCAACGTTCTGTGTTCAGCAGCAGCCTCAGCCTGTGCAGGGTGTGGTCAGAGCTGCCTGGGCTGGGCACGACCATCCCTGTGTCCCCTCGAGGTCAGGACTGTGCTGGCAGCTGCACCAGAGGTGTTTTCCTGTGCTCCCCTGAGCTGTCTGAGCCTCTGGAGCTGTGCTGGAGGTGAGCTGGGTTTGTCAGGGAGCCCCAGGTTGGAGGGGGGATCCCTAAAGCTGCTCTCTGGGGTTTGTGTGTAAGAAAGTTTGTGCAGCTCTGCTGCAGCACCCCTGGGTTTGCTCTGCCCCAGGGATGTCAAGCCCTGCCTTGTGCAGTCCCCAGCTGCTCCTGTGGGCTTGGGCTCAGCCCACAGTGCCTGGGGCCAGTCCTGCCCACTGCAGCAGGAGCTGGACAGGCTCTTTATTTATTATTAATTATTTCATAAGTGTTCAACTCTATGATTTGCATGAAATCCTGTGGTTCACAGCTTTGCCAATATGGTCCATTACTACTGCCTACGACAACTTGTGTACTTATATGCCTTTGAGAATATTTTTAATTGTTAAAATTGTTTTAAAAATCAATGTTAAGTTAATTTAATTTTTAATGGGGAAATGGATTCTGGTGTCAAAATGGTGTTTACTGTGATGCTGATGTTTTGTACCTGTCATCCAGCTAAACAACCTGTAAATACTCCTGAGTCAAAAGAAACACGAATGCCAATTATTTATTGTTCTGTGGAGTTACATGTCGCAGATGTGTAAGAACATAAAAGGGAATGTTGTAAAACAAGGTGGAAAAAATAAATTTTATGCAACTTCTTTACTTCACCCCTGTATGATGCACCTGGTCAGTCCTGGCATGATCAGTCCCAGATGTGTGGGAATTGTCAGGATATGGAGGGGTTGTACTGTGAGCCTTTAACCTGCGTGTGGGAAATGCACAAGAAAAAGGAAAATCTAAGAAATTATCAGAGCTCCTTCGTTCAGTTCTTTCTAGAGCCAGTTTTGGTTTTAACAGGGGTGGTCATTGCTGCTGGCAGCCAGTGCTGGGAAGGAGGAGGGAATTTTCATTGGAACACAGATATGTCCTGCCCTGGGAAGAGCAGTGATGCAACAGCATGAGGAACAGCTATTTTGGGAATGCTCTCATCCCTTGGACATTTGATTCAGTGAGTGCAGTCCCAGGGTCAGGAACAGGGGGAGAGGCAGGATTTAACACTGAATATCCTCCACAGGGGAAACGTCTATAACGTTGAGTACAAACACAGCACAGCAATTTTCTACCAAAAATGTAATAGAGCCATAAACACTCTTAAAAAAAAAAAAAAAAAAAGGAATTAAGAGAGCAATTGGATAAAGTAAATCTCTGACTTGGGAGACTGTTTATGGAAAGCAGTGACAAACTATCCCTCAGATTTTTGAGCATCTATGGATGTGTTTCTTTTAGATTCTATAGGACACAGATGCCCTTTTTAATGAGTAACCTTTTTTGGTATAAAGTAGTTAATGCAAATATTAAATAAGCCATTTTTGTGATGTTTGCACACATCAAATGAATGGTGTAGACTCCAGAAATCACAGGAACAGCCTTTGCTCCCAAGTGTTACCAATTTCCCACTCTAAATGGGTTACATAAGCCCTGGTTAGTGGTTCCTTTAATTTTTGGATGGTTTCTTTTTAATGGTGAAATGCGTAATTAAAAAAAGCTAGAAATAGTTTTTCTAAACCCACTCTGGAAGGGAAGGAGAATTTCAGCAATTTTTTTTTTCACCCAAACATTGCATAATAGTAGAAATGTCAAAGATTTCCATGGGGTTCCATTTCATTCTTCATGTGGCTGTGATCATGCAAGAAGTCTGAACGCTGCAGGGGCTGGCAGATTTTTGGAAGATCACACATCCTGGGCTAGGTTTGCAGCCTGGGCTTTACCAAAGAATGCCAGTGGCCTTGATTATCAAATCGTGGTTGTATTGTACACTGGTGTGTCTCTGTTCTTCCTTTTTTTTCTGAGAAGAAGAAATAGGTGCTGGCTGGAATTTGGGTGTCTCACTCTGGCCCTGAGCCTGATGGAGCTGTAGAAGCCTCTCTGCTCCATGAACCATTTAGGGAGAGGAAAACCTCATTGACCTGCTCTGGTTTCACCTTCTGATGGCTCCAGACACGACACCTGCCACTGCCTCTTCTCCCCTGCACTACTGTGGCATTAAATATTGTCTTACATCTTCACCAGAGGGAGGGAACTGCTCCTGTTCCCCTTTCCCAGGTAGGAGATGGGGCCAGACAGAACCAGTGGTCTGGGCTGGCCCCACAGGCAGAGCACAGAAAACAGAAAAATA